ATTTGGATAATTACATTCTGACTCTTTAAAGCAGGGTGGCTGACCTGCCTGACCCTACCAGCTGTATACCCAAATTTACATGTGGCACAGAGCGATACAGCTGAACCCACATATTTCAAAGAGCTGAAGGAAAAGAGGAGCTCCAGGAGAGGTTCCCCGACTGCTGAGGAGAAAGACTCTCTCCCAGAATGGAAGCCTTACCTTCCTGCCTAAACAGTCCTTGCCTCAGGAGCTGACAACTTGCCCTCCTGTGTCACTTCTCAGGGAAACCTGCCTGGTATTGTCAAAGTGCCATCACACTTTGTCCCCAGGCAGCTGTTGTTGCAGCACTGGTGCTGTGAGCCTTGTAGATCCACAGCTCGTAAGACAGTTTGGCAGCTTAAAGGCCTTGTTATTAATAGTGAAGTACCTAGTACTAATAGTAACCTGCATTTCTATTTTGTCATTAACAAAGAAAAACATTTTATCCCTCACAGTAAATGGAGACTGGTTTGCCCTAGAATCAGGCACGAGAAGACACTGAAGGTTCACATTCTCCTCTTCTCTTGGAGATCAGGTAGCCACTGGTGCTCTCTGACCTTCGCCTTTTTTACTTATAAACTCTTAGATACTTCACTGATACATCACTGTGCATAGCAAATCTTGACCAGCACAGAATCCCAAAACACAGAAGAAGCAGTATCTGAGCCTTCATCAGCTTCCTGACACATCAAAGAAGAGGAGCAGCATATGCTCCGAAGGATTTTTTCACCACGGACACACAGTAAATGTTACCAAACCCAAGATAAAATGCCATTTCCAAAGGCTGAAAGAAAGTGGTGGCCGTTCCAAGCAGCCCCCAACATCCAGCCAATTTTGCATTTTGCATTTCAGATGCCAGCCTGACCCAGCCACTCTCCTGTCCTTCACATGGGCAGCCCTGTGCCAAGACACTGCTATCCAATTAAGCTATTTCTCCAGACTTCATGGATGCAAAGGAGGGGAACCTGTCCTGTCCCCATCTCTGCACAAGTGCTGGTGGCACCTGGACCATGGCCCAGAGCTATGAGGGGGTAGAAGCCCCAGGGGTAGAAGACAGTCATGGCTGGGGATGTTCTGCATGGTTGTAGGTGCCCACCTCTGGGAGTTTCTGGTTTGGGGGCTACCAGGGGAGCTGGCAGGGGGATGTGGGCAGGCAGGGGACAGGAAAGGGAGCAGAGAGGACCTAGGGCACCATCTGGTGGCTTCGCTCACTGCCTTCCCTAAATCCCTGTCTCACGGGGTCACGGTATTGCATGGCCAGGGGCTGAAGAAACACCAGGTCTTTCCAAGAGACAGCCCAGCAGGAGGAAAAGACCCCTGCCCTTGGCCCAGGCTCACACACCCTTAGGGCACTGCTGGGTGGAACAGTGGTGCAAACCAGAGCACTAATAACCATGTCACTTGGGTGCTGTTCAGTCGAGCACCTCCGTTGACAAATAACCAGCCCTAGCTGGGTATTTAGAGATTATTTACAGTAGTGACACCCCTGAGAAGGAAAAAGAAGAGGAGTAGAAAACAGAAGTGATGGAGAACACCTTGGACTATACCTTGGACATACTTCCATTGTTGTTATCCACCACAGCAAGGTCTTTCTTATCTACAGATAAAGGCAAAATATAAGTTGGTGTGTTTCATACGATAGAACAGTACCCACGCAAGAGCTTGTCCTCTGCAGAAATGGATTAAACCAACAAACAAACAAACCACTCAAATGCACCCTGGTTTTTGCCTTCTCAAATGAGGATTTGCTGTAAAGCGTTGTGAAGGGGTTGTTCTAAAGGGACTCAATGACGTCAGCGTCACCAACACCCTTTGCAGCAATGCCAGCTAAAACAATACATTGAGGATGATCACCGTGAGAGACTGCATCTCTCAGGACCAAAGGCTCGCACCTGGTGGGAGAGGGCAAAGGATTGAAGTGCTAACATGGCACTTCCCTTAGAAGAAGGCAGGCAAGGCATTTCCACCTCGCACCACTGCTTACTTTGATAATGTGTCTCCACTTCCCTGAAATCCTGTCAATACAAAGAGATAATTCAACACCTGGGAATCAAAGATTATACCACCGTAACCTGAGAGCATGCTCTCTGCTTAACAGCACCATGCTGGGGAAAGCAAGTGGAGCTGAGGCCCTTAGGGACAGCGTTTTTAAGAGGAATCTGTTCTCAACATGCATTTTAAAGTAAAATGTGTAGAGTGAACACAACAAGCCAGTCATCACTTCCCACTTTTGTGGAGCTGGGGGAGCTGATCCTTAACTTTTCTTTTTTCAATTGCTCAACACTTAAAAATTAACTCCTTCCCTCTTGGTAGTCATACTGATTTTCTGCATCTATTCTCATGGGCCACAGAGCCAAGTAAGACAAAAAGACCAAATGACTGCCTTTTTCCTGAATAAATCTCTTCTACAAAGTAGTTAGACTAATCTAGTCTCTCCTACCTGTGCCTGAAGGCATTTCCTCATACCTCCTTGGAAAACTCTGCAACATTTAAACACATCCCTGCTCTCACAGTCTTCTGCTTTATATCTTTCTCTCTCACACACTCTGGTGCTACTGTGGCTGCCCATGGCACACGATGCTAAAGAAGTTACATTAGCTTGTGGCTACATAGCTTCAAAACTTCCTTTTTCTCGTGCAGCAGCCCTTTGCCCTTGCGGGGCCAATTGAAAACCCACTGAAATCAACAGAGTGACTTTCCCCAACTTTGCAATTTTTGGAACACAGCCCGGATCCGCAGACTTGCCTGCATTTCTCGTAAATTTTTACTTTTTCACTTGATCAGAACCTGGTGTGATTCTTCCAGTACTTTAACACCGACTGTTCTAGGATAGTCTTTTCTATTCCAAATACTATTCTTCATCTCATGTTCCATTTTAAACAGCTTCAGCTACTTAATATATAGAATTGTTCAGGCATAAACTATTTAAAAAGGTAAAAACAAGACAAATCAATTCACTGCAAAGTGAGATCCTTGCCAGGAAATTTCCAGTAGTACCCAGTATTTTTAGCATTTGTAAAATTTCAAAAGCAAAACAGAAAAACTCAGCAGCATTATTTTGAAAGTTTTCACTTTTCATCTAATCCACCAGCTTCTGCTGAATATTTTATTGCCATACTGCAACATATTTATAATTAATCTCATAATTTCTTAAAATTTATTAAGGAAATGAATTGTTATACCTGTACAATCTTCTGTAAATTCTTCTGTGAACAGAAATGTTTTCTGGTCATATTAGTAAATGCTAAAATTGTTGACTTAAAAAATATGTATTTATAATTTTCATTATCACTTAACAAATGGAAAACAGGTCTAATAAGCCATGCTGTCTATTCATTGCTCTTTCTGAAATGGATTCCTCAACACTGGGAAGAGAAAAAGCATTTTCCTGTGGTTAAAGAAAGTCCAAATTGCATGTTTGAAATCTTTTCTAATAAAAAGAGCAAAGCAATAAGCGGATTATCTCTTTAAACATAGTATAGGAAGGCTGGAGGCCCCGGAGACATTTTCCATAGCCTCTATCTCTGATGCATAGCAACATTATCTTCAACTAGAGAGGGTCCTATGACCCTGGAGCTCAATTTTAATTTGATCTTCTTCTTTAAAGAGGTTTCTATGATTTCTCTCAACTTATGTTGCATATTCTTATTTTGGGTTGGTTTTGTTTGGTTGTTATTTTGTTGTTGCTTTTTAATCTGAGATAAAACAGCTCAGCTTTTTGATCCACTGGTTTGATGGTGTTATATATGGATATTTAATGTAACCTCTTCCCTGTCAGAACTAGAATATGCATCAGCACAAATGGCAGGGAAGTTCCAGCTGACAGGAGAGAGAAGAGCACGGATAGAAAATTCACCTTTAGGGCCTCCCTCCTCCCTCCAGTTGCTCTAAGTTTCAGAACAGGTTCACCTGGCCAAATAACCTATTGGGGCAGGAGTAAAGGAGTCTTACACCCTTGCTGGGAAATACTGGCCAGCTGAAACAAAGGCAAACCTATTGGTTTTGGTGGGGCAGAGGTACCATGCCTGCTCCCACAGAGGCTCAGAATCACAAGCAATAACAATGCCCATTGCCAAGAAGAACAGGAAACTGAGGAGCTCAGCTTGAATTTATCTGGGCTGGAACCTGGCCCCAGACCTGCTTGTCTTATGCAGCCCCAGCAAGGGAGTTTCCTCAGGTTCCCACCTCCCTGTTCCTCTTCCTTGTTCTGGAAAGAGCACTGCCACTGAGACATGTTGCCAGGCAGGGATATTTTATCTGTTTTTCTTTTCTCCATTTTTATCTCTGTCCATGCATCCAGTCCTCACCGTATACGGCTGATATTGCTGAAAAGAAAGTATTTACTTGGAGGCACTGATTTGAGTCAGCTGAGTATGGTCGCAGCAGGCATCTGTGACTACTTGATGGGATTAGCAGATTATGAGAAAGCATGTTTCACTGTGTGGTTCCTGAGAAAGGAAAAAAATGGGCAGGTGGATGTTTGTGTCTTCACTAAACTATGCATGAAGGCCCGATGGCCATGTCAGGAAAGTCATAGGCACAGGATCAGATGGACTGCTGCAGGTCAGGATTGGAAGATCAAGCCAGCAAGCAGGGAGGTCTCTGGATTGTCTTGTCATTTACAGAGGATTGAGATTTAAGTATTTCAGCTGGGCCAGGTGAGAGAAACCTGCACAGATCCCATCTGCACCATTTCTAAGATACATGTGAGTGCTTGACAAACGCAGCTTTTCTTTTGCATCAAACAGCTTTGCTGCAAAATAGCTTGGCTGCATCAATGCAGAATAAGCCCCAGTGGGATTTGAACAGATGCATTCTGTTGTTAATGAAGGGCAGTTTAGAAGGAGCCAGGCATTCACAAGTTCCTCTGTGGCTGTGCCCTGAAGTCGCTGTGGATCTCTGCAGAGAACTGGGGACGTAAGAGAATAGTTCTGCTGTACAGAAGGATGTCTGGTCCACATAGGGTCAGATTTTCCCTGTTAGATATTCTCATAGATATCAGAGGATTCTTCTAGAGTTGCTTGTTTCTTAGGTGTCTGCAGAATGATGAAAAGAAGAAAAAAGAAATGGAGGAAAATTATTCAAAAGAAGATGAATTAATTCTTAATAAGCAGACACTGACATTTGTTCTGTTAGAAATGGCTATAAGTGATCCGCTGAAACGGAAGCCACTACAGTGAGAAATGTTGCTCCGCCAGAGATGAATGTGATAAATCCAGCCCAAGGGATAAAGATGCCTCCTTTACTTGTCACTCTTCCCCCAAAAAGCTGTCAGACAGGGAGGGGAGGGAAAATTGGACTCGGTAAAAAAATAAATCACTTTGGATTTTGTGAAGGAGGATTTCCCTGACCTCCTCAATCCTGTTTCTTCAACAGTTGAGTCTATTCCTCACAACCATTCCTTGTGTAGACAAGGCGCTGACAGACTGATATTTTAAGCGCTGTGTGGCACAGGCCTACTGTAAGCAAGGTTACACAGCAAGCAGCTGAAATGCCACAGGTTGAATGAAGCCCTACCTACACTAGCATTTTCTCTGTTGCCACCACCAAAGGGAAACCTTTTACAAAAGTGCTGAGTGCAGGCACCTCCCAAGCATGCGGGATTAACCCCTTGCTACCCATGCTGGCTGGCAGTCCAGCACACCACCATGCAAATGCTCTCATTTCAGGGGCTCTCTGCCCTGTTCCCCCTCTATGCACAGCATTCTGCAGGAACGGCTGTCCTGGACCCTCCACAGCGGAGTCTCAGCCACTTTTCAGCTATCCCAGCTCCCATTCACAGGCCAAACCCACTGGCCCACAAGTCTCATTTTTAGGGAAAACACCCTTGTTGTATTCTGGCACAGCCAGCTGGAGGACGATTGTCCCAGGCAGTCACAGCCCCAGATGACTGAGAGGGAAGCTGATCAAGGTGCTTGCAACAGTAGTGGAAAGCACAGTCAGATTCTCCTGTGCAGAATCTGCTACTCACACTTCCTTTCCTTCTGACCAGCACAAAAACTGGGGACATTCAGTGGTGGCTGCTATTGGTGTGAGAGCTCATCCCATCCCCTCTCTTTGCTTTCTTCTCCTTTGTTTCTCTCATCTCTGCTTCGACCTTTACCTCACCCTGGCTGAGACTAGCAGCACCAGACCCACTTGCACACAGATGCTCCTTTGCTCTTGCTTTGTTGCTTTGCTTCTGCTCTGTTTTACAGACCCTCTGCCCCCCAAAGCAGCAGTTGAGTGCTGTGGGCCACACACAAGTGATTCAGCACAGCCCAGACAGCTCCATAGTAGGGAAAACAACTCACACATCCTGCATCTCATCATCCAGACTGAGACATTTCAAAGGGGCAGCTGATAAAGGAATACAGAAGAATAAATAGGACAGGGAAGAGGGATCAGGACCTACTGTTCTCCCTATCCAACTAATTCAAAATGCGGCAAGAACACAAAACCAAGGATGCTGTCTTTTCCAGTGCATATGATGCACTGGGGTATAAAACAGCCCACATAAAACAACCCATCCTTCCCCTCAATAATCAGATACCTGCCACTGCCTTTGCTACCACCAGCCACTGTGGTGCCACAGTAGTAGCTACAGGAGGCCAGTGGCTTTGAGACCAGACCACGTGGCAAGTAGCTCTGACACAGATGAGGCTGCTTTATTTTAGACCACCTTTTCCTAAAAGGTGGGAGTTGTGAAAATGCCTCAGACACTGGAAGATACTGTCCTTCGTGAAACAGAGGGATGGTGTCAACTGTAGCTGGCGCCATGCTCCACACTGTGTAGTCAAGCCTGGGGAACTCTCCCCAGCAGGACATCAGTGGGGGGAAGGAGGAGACACTTTTCAGGAACATCTTCCAACGTTAGAAGAATGAATATAATTTTTAAGCAGATAAGAGGTCTGGAGGGGAAAAGAACAATAAAGTTCTGAGGGCAGGAATGAAATGTTCCGTGGGGTGCCTAATGCAAGTTTTGTCCCTGTGAAACAGCTGATGCCCGCCAAAGGGAGGGTAGAGCGCTGTGTAGGCCTCGGGTCTGCTTCACGTGGCCCCCACAACTGATCTGCACCTGCATGTTCCAAGTTGCAGCTACTTTCACTAGGAGGGGATTTGGTTCCTTGTCTCTAACTCGTAACTCCCAGCCCAGCAAGAAGATCCAAGCCCAAAACACACCCACACTGCCTTTTCCTGAGCCCCAGAGCTGAGAGTGACTGTATCAGCCCAGCCTCTGTTCAGACCGTCTTAGTGTCTGCTGCCATGAAATGGCTCTCAGGTGCTTAATGCTGGTGAGATCAAAGCTGTGTCCAGGATCTGCCCCCGGCGCACAGATTCCTCTATCCAGGTGGACTTCTCAGATGCCTAAATAATCTGTAAAGGGCAACGCTGAGGGCCAGCATCTGTCCCACTCTCCATGAATGTTCATCCCATTCAGAGGGAGCAACAATGCCAACCCCCTCAATGCTCTTCGGGGTACGTCATACAGCAAAGCATCTGCATGAAACCAGGACTGTCAGAACTGGTAGTGCTGCAGGAGGAAGGGTTCTGCCGGAAGAGGGAAGATAGGCTACATGTGCAGCCCAGCTGGTGAGTGGATGCCACGTCCCGTTTTCCCCTTTTGGTGGGACTGGAATTTGGGAAAGAGCAGACACACTTTCTGCCTGCAAGGGTCATGACA